TCTCCATTGATAAGAATGTTGTTTATTGGTCCAGTGGTGAGGATTTTTGTTTTCTTGACAGCATAAGAGATTATATACATGGACCTCACCAGATGTAATATACAGAAATCAAATTGACTACATCTGCAGAAAGAGAAGGTGGAAAAGCTCCATATCATCAGCCAAAACAAGGCCAGAGGCAGATTGTGGAACAGACCATCAATTGCTCACATGCAAATTCAGACTGAAGCTGAAGAAAATGAAAGCAAATCCAAGAGAACCAAACTACGACCTTGAGTATACGCCACCTGAATTTAGAGCTCATCTGAAGAAGAGATTTGATACATTAAACACTAAAGACTGAAGACCAGAAGAGTTGTGGGATGACGTCAAGAACATCATACAGGAAGAAAGCAAAGTCATTAAGAAGACAAGAGTGAAGGAAAAGACCAAAATGGATGTCAGAAGAGACATTGAAACTTGCTCTCCAGAGTAGAGTTGCTAAAGTACTATGTACAGAAACGGTCATAATAGAACCACATTAACTATGTACATTTTCTCTAAAATCATGGAAGATTTTATTAATTGCATATTTTGGCCTGAATGTCACATGTAGGTAAAAACTTGAGGTCCTATTGGTTGGTGACTAAGTGTCAGATTTCTTGCGTGTGCTGCTAAGATACTGAACAGATTTCAGTGGAGTTTCCAAACTAAGATAAACTAGGAAGAAAGGCCTGGTGAATGACTGCCGAGACCAAGGCACTGGGAGCCCTCTGGATGACGGTGCTATGATTGTGCTTCCTTCTGTTGTGCTGGGGAAGGGGCGACAAAATTGGGACGGCTCCACAGTAGCAAATAGTGAAGATACACCCAAGTTATTCTGAAGGACTGGGGCCCTCACTGAAATGTGTGGATGTCCTGGGGAGGGGGGAGCAGCTAAGTCTGAGGCTTGGGGTGTCTGTTGGTAACACACGGACCCCTCCTCTCCTGGTAAGCACACTGAGCGCCCAGGTGACACAGTAGATGAACTATTAGGGCTGCTAAAAGTTTCCAACCCACCAGTCACTCCTCAAGAGAAAGGTAAGGCTGTCTGTTGTAAAGACGGACAATCTGAGAAACCGTAAAGCGCAGTTCTACTCGGACTCCACTGGATGGCAGTGGCCGGGTGGCAGGCACGTGAAGCCCCACCCACTCTTTGCTCTGGAGGAAACAGGTGATGGCCTCAACCAATGGAAAACGGCAAAAGTAACATTTTGGAGCTTCTCTTGGACTAAGACTCCTTCTGGGTCCTAAGACCGCCGGGCCGCTAGGCAGTCCACGTAGCTAAGTGGAGGCGCACAGAGCCAACGGCTGTTACAGCAAAGCCTTCTTGGGCAGTCCTAATCCGGGGAGATTAAAGGTGAACAACCCAATGTTACACCTTGAATTGAGTGCCCCTAAAATATGTGTCAACGTACCTAGGCTATGATTCTCAGTGTGATGTAACTATTTTGTAATCTGATGTCATCATCTTCTGTGTTGTGAATCCTAACATCACACTTGGTAAAGTAGAAGGTCAGTGAAAGAGAGTAAGACCCCCAACAAAATGGACTAACACAATGGCTGTAACAGTGGGCTCAAATGTCACAATTAGGAGGAAGGCATAAGACTGGGCACTGTTTCCTTCTGTTATCGGTGGGGTTGCTGTGTGTCAAAACCAACTCGATGGCACCTCATGGCAAAAATATGCCATTAATGTTAAGTGACATCGAGTCAGTTCCGACCAGTTAAGTGCCTTCAAGTTGGCTTTGACCCATAGCGACCCTGTATAGGTGAGTTTGAACCACTGATCTTACAGTTCAAACTGACTTTGCAGTCCAGTGCACTAACCCACAGCGCCACACCAGGACTTGGTAACAGGACAGGATTGAGGGAACTATGTTAATGAGGCAATCTATAGGAGTAGGCTGTATTTTAAATCCATCTCTTCTTCCTCCGTTGGCTTGCTTGTATACCTTAGAAGAGGAGCCGCGAGTGGAACATGTTCTTTGGGCCTGTGCTGACAATCTCCTAGACCAAGGGGAAGACTGCTACCAAGATTCATGAAAATCTCTGAGGTACACAGAACCCACAGAAGTTGGAAGAAAACAAAGACCTTTCCCCAGAGCTAACAGAGAGAAAAACTTCCCCTAGAGCTGACAGGCCGAATTCAGACTTACAGTCTCCTAAACTTAGAGAGAATGCATTTCTGTTTGTTAAAACTATCTGCTGGGGCTCTTTTTAGCAGCACCAGAGAGCTAAGGCACGGTCCAGCAGGGCCACGACTACCCTGCCGAACCCCATATCACCCCACGATGTTGTTGCTGTTAACTGCCGTTGAATTGGTCCCCACCTATAGCGATCCTGTATAGAGTTTCCGAGGAGTGGCTGGTGAACTTGAACTGCCAACCTTGTGGTTCAAATCGACGTTGCAGTCCACTGCATGAACCTACAGCACCACACCCAGAACTCCATATCACACACCCCCCCAGAATCATGAAAAACAATAAACTGATGCCCTATACCAGGTTGATTTGGTAACTAACCATCAATCCTGCTTTTCCAATGGGCAGCTGTGGACCACAGGAGTTATTTATTTAAACAACGTGCCTGATTTTTCCAGCCGAGACTGTACATACTCCCCATGTAGCAATAATAACTCTTTGTTTCACGTTTCCACATATTAATACTTCTGAAAACAGGGTAGACCTTACAATCTTATGATCAAACACGAGGAGACAGCATTTGGACGTTTTCTAGAAAGATCCAGAAAGTGTCAGCAGACGTCATCTTCAATACGAGGAAACAAATAGTCAATACAATATCAACAGGCAGCAAGCGTGGGGCACGTGTGTGTTAGTGTGTGTTAAACGTGAGAAGAGAACCAACACATTTCCACTATTCACTTATACAGCAATAATTTTAAAAATTAACAACAGTATTAGCAGCGACCGCCCCTGAGGGCCCATCTTGATCTTCTTCTTGCAGAACCGGCTCAGAGAGGGGCCGCCTCTTGCCCCAAGACACACAGCCTTCGCGCCCCGGACCCGCTGCTGCATGGCTTTGGCGTCCTGTCTGGGGCCGGATGGGCAGCCAGGCTGTGCAACTCGGCGTGGGGTGCGGCGGGGTCCGAAGGTCCAGACCGGCAGGGGCGCCGGGAGCGGCGGGGGGCGCAGGGGCAGACTCGGCGAAAAGCCTGGCGGAAGTGGGAGCCCAGGAACGCGTAGAGCAGCGGGTTCAGGGCCGAGTTGCTATAGGACATGCAGTGAGCCCAGATCTTTAGTGCATAGGCGGCGTAGCTGCGTGGGTGCCACGCACCTGCCGGGCCCAGTGCTTGCAGCACCAGGAACAGCTGGATGGGGCCCCAGCAGGCAGCGAACAACAGAACCACCGCGGCCACCAATCTGGAGACCTTGGCCCGCACAGCTCCTGCGCGCTCCGCCAGCAGCTGCCCCTGTGGGGGGATGGAGGGATAGGAGGAAGTGGCTGAAGGGTGCGCTGTGCCTCTTTCCTAGAGCACCCCACATATACCCCCTGGACTGTACCTCCCTCTTTAGGTCTTTCCATCGTCGCCATGGCCCTCAGCAGCGCCCACCCCTAACGCGCCTCTCCCAGCACCTCACCCCTTAGATTGTGCCTCCTCCAGCCCCCAGCCTCACCGCCCCTGGCGCCGCGCACCTGCAGAGCGCCGTCAGCGGGCGCAGGGCGCACGGAAGCCCGGCCCAGGTGGCGCAGCATGGCACCGTAGCAGGCACAGGTGGCGAGCAGTGGCAGCAGGTAAAGCGCCAGCAGGTTGTAGAGCGCGAAGGCGCGCTCCAGAGCGCGGCTGGGGAAGGCCTCGCTACAGTAGGTGCGCGGCCCCGGCGAGAGGCGATGCAAGGCCAGCACTGGCGCCGACACGGCCGCTGATCCTGCGGGAAGCCAGGGTTCAGACTCGTTCCCCCACCGGCCTCGACACTGGGGCACCTCGGGTACGTACCCTTGGCGACCCTTGGCAGGAAGGATAATTGCACCTATTTCCCAGATGCGCAGTCGAAGCCCCGGGAGGGGTAGTGAGTGGCCTCGAGAGCCTGGATTGGTCCTCCCACCCCCGTGCGCCCCCGCTCTGCACTCACCCACCCAGATGCTAAGACTGATCGCCAGCGCCAGGCGGGGCGTACGGCGGTGCAGAGCGCGCAGCGGGAACACAGTCACGTACCAACGGTCCACGCTCATGGCGGTGAGCGTTGCGCACGTGGCCTGCACCGAGACCTGTGCGGGGCCGGGAACCGTGTATGAGGCGCCCTGCGCGGCCGGGGGCCCACCTTACCCTTTCCCGCCCGCCCACTCTTCTGGTTCCCGCAGGTTCGACCACTGAGACCTATGGGGAGTGTTCTGGAAGGGTACCCAGGGATCCGGAGAGTAACCCGAGGAGGTTGGGGATGGTGGAGAAGCAAGTGGGATACTGAGACCCAGAGACAGAAAGACCTTCCCCGCTCCCCCACTCCTGGCCTCCAGCCTGTCCTCACCCTTCTTCAGGGCCTAGGCGCAGCCCGCCTCTGCCACGCCCGGCCCCACCCAGATTATCTCCAAACCCCACCCCCTTCGTGCTTGTCCCGGACACGCCCATATCTGCCAGGTCCCGCTCACGCGCAGGCTCGGTTCTGGTCCCTCCTCCCCCCAGCCCCGGGTCCCGCGCACCTGCTGAATGTAGTTGACGAACTTGCACATGAAGTCACCCAGTACCCAGGCGGGCAGCGGGTACAGAAGAGCCGTGAAGGGTACACAGCAGAGCAGGAAGGTCACATCCGTGGCCGCCAGGTTGGCTGCAGGCGAGGAGCGTTAGGGCGCCAGCCCACGCCGCTGACCTGTCCCCCCTCCACCCCACCTCCGACTGGTCCGAGCGAGCAGAAGGAAGGCTCGGTAGGGCACCCTCAGGCAGAGAAATTAGGGTAGCCTCCTGTATCCTCTTATATTAAAAACAAAACAAAACAAAAAACCCAGCTCAGACTTCATAGCTATATGGGGAGTAACAACCAGCTCTCCTTGTTCCTAACCCTCTGAACCTCAGTTTTCTTCTCTGCAAAATAGGGACAATCCTGCTAGCCCAACAGCCACAGAATGGCAAATCCTGATTGAGAGCCCGCCTTTCCGATAGTACAAAAGGTGTGTCAACTGAAGCTCAGCCAGCCACCGGCAGAGGCTGCAAAGTGGGGATCCGCGGACTAACTCAGCGGTTTCCCTCACTCCCTTTGTTCAGGAGACAAAGAGTTCTAAGAAACACGTAGCCTCTATCTCTTGTTGTGAAGTGCCGTCGAGTCGGTTCCGACCCATAGCGACCCTGTATAGGATTTCCACTGACCTTGAGGTTCAAACGACTTTGCAGTCTGACGCATTAGCCCACAGTGCCACACCAGGATTCTTTCTACCTCGGTGGCGAGTGCGAATTCTCCAAGGGCCACGTTCCCAAACCTCCCTGTTAACGATTCCAGCCCTCGTGGGACCCTGGAGCGTTGGAGTTCGAGAGCTCTAGCCCAGGGCAAAAGCAGGAGTTCTCCAGGGGCGTCGGGGGGCGCTCACCGATATAGAAGTTGGTCACGGTCCGCATCTGCTTGTCGCGGCAGACGACGTAGATGACGAGCGAATTCCCGGTCAGGCCCAGTAACATCAGCGCGGCGAAGAACAGCGGCACCAGCCAGGCGTCCACGGTCTGAGGCGCGGGGGCCGGCCCGTCCGAAGTGTTGACGCCGCAGCCTGGGCAGCCCGACGCGTTGCCGGGCGCCCACCAGGACGCATTGGACCCCGCCGTGGTGGCGGCGCGCGTGGCTTCGCCACCACCTCCTCACCCCGGCCCGTCGGGATTGCGCGGCGGGACGCAAGCCCCGCCACCCCCTGGCCTAGACCGCTCCTCCCGGCTGTCCGCCGGGGTTGCGTCCGCGGAGCTCGGAAAGGATCTGGGCTGGAGGCCGCGGGTCTGATGGGCGGCTCCGCTGGGCTAGCCTGCTAGTCTGCTCGCTCGGCAATCGCTGCGCATTTATAGCCCGCGCCCCCCGCGCCCCGCCTCCCTTAAGGCACTGGCCACTACATCCCCTGTCTGCGCGCCCTCCGTTCACCTGCACAACAGACTTCTTCCGCCCCCCTTCTTCCCTTGTCAGGAAGGGACGGACTGGGGAGGAGGGTGCCAAGGGAGGAACGGGGGAGGGGAGGCTGCCGTGGACCCTGAAAGGACCCATCTTTTCTAAGGGGAAGAGACTCACCGCCAGGGGGAGCAGCCTGCATTTGCTGAGGGCGACCGCTGTAACCGTCCTAGGTGCTGGCACTGCAGGTGGCTGAACCCAGAGCACAGTTGGTTTGTTCCCACGCCACTGGGGAGCCAATGAAGGGTCCAGGGAGATGAGATTTCATACACAAGGAGTTTCAGCCACAGTGGGACTCCGACCCCTGGACAGAATCCGTCTTCTGCTGAAATCAGTCAATCCCATTCATAGGACTCTCTAGGGTGGAGTAGAACTGCCTCATAGGGTTTCTGAAGTGGTCTAGCTTCGGGGAGCGATTGCCTTATATTTTTTCCAACAGAGGGGCTGGTTAGTTGAAACTGTCCACCTTTCAGTTAGCAGCTCAAAGTTTAACCCAGTAGGCCTGCCTCCAGGGATGCTTAACTGGCCAACACGGGTTAGCCACCACGGGGACATGGACACCTGGTACCATTGGCTGCGGGACCTGGGTGGAAGCAGTTTCCAAAGGCCACACACTAGGAAGTGTCCCAGGTATTGGCATGTGAGGTCCAGGATGCTCAGGCTTAGTGGAGTAGTATGCAGCGGAGAAGATGCTACCTATTGTAATGCTGTTGTTGTGTGCTGTTCAGCTGACCGCAACTCGTAGAGACTTCATATGACAGAGCAGAGCTGCTGTCAAACCATAGGGTTTCCTAGGCTGTCATCTGTGTGCGAGCAGAACTCCAGACCTTGCTCCCTCAGAACTGCTGGGTTCTTTGAACTGCCAACCTTTGCTTACCCACTGAGCTGCTAAGGTTTCTGATAACTGTGCAACAAAGATGAAAAAGGCTACTTTAACTTTCTAGAGGGGCTCCAGTAGTGTAGTGGGTTATGCATTGAACTGCTAACTGCAAGGTCAGCAGTTCGAATCCACTAGCAGCTCCTGTAAAGATCTGTTGTTGTTAGGTGGTGTTGAGTCGGTACCGACTCATAATGACCTTATATACAACAGAACAAAACACTGCCAACCGCATCATGTTTCAATAGTCAATATTCTGGTGCTGACTGTGTTCCACGGCTAGTCATAAGGTTTCCAGTGACTAAATATTCGAAGTAGTTCATCTCTCCTTCTTCTAGTCTGTCATAGTCTGGAAGCTGAAGTGAAATCTGTCCACCATGACTGACCCTGGTGGTATTTAAAATACCAGTGGACTAGCCTTCAGAATTACAGCAATACGAAAACATACGACAAACTGAGTTGGAACCAAACCAAAGACATGCACTAAAAGCTACGGCAGACAGACCACAAATAGGTGGCTTTAAGAAACAGAAATTGTTTTTACTATTGTTTCATTGGTTCTGACTCAAGCTGACCCTGTGTCTAGTCCTGTGCCATCTCATAATTGTTGGTTTGAGTCCATTGCTGCTGCCACTCTGCCAATCCATCTCACTGGGGGGGGGAGGTGTCTTCCTCTTTTTCCTTAACCCTGCACTTTACCAAGCATGATGTACTTTACCAGGGATAATATGTCTGAAGTATGAGAGACAAAGTCTGGCCATCTTGCCTTCCAAGTAGCACTCTGGCTGTATTTGTTCTTTTGGCAACTCATGGCACTTTCAATATTCTCCTCCAACACCATAGCTCAAAAGCATCAATTCTTCTACGGTCTTCCTTATTCACTGTCCA